TCATATGAATGTAAGTATGTGTACTTTACGCTGTATGTATGTAATGTGTCTCCTATTTTGTTTCTTATGTCTTGTGAATGTATTAATGCAAAGCCTGACACCATCCTGAAAGTATATATACATCAAGGCATATGTTTGTGTTTAAGAGATTATAAGCAAAACCTCGTGGTGGAGATCATGAAGTTTCCTTCACCAGCTGCAGGATCTACTGTAATATGGGTTGCTTACAAGTCTGGCATATTTCACTGACAAACAAACAACATACTTGCTTCAGTGTGGAGAGTGAAGGGGTCGCTGTTCTTAATCAGTGCTGTCCATTTGGAAAATGGAAACAGGTAATTTCTCAACACTATTAAGAACAAATGTATTGGTGTATTTACTCAGGGTTACGACTGACACTTTTTACCAGGGTCCTCTGTGTCGGCTTCCCCGCTGTGCCAACACAGTGGTCTCATTCAAATAAATGAGAAGCTTCAGTTCTTTGAGGCAAAGCTATTGTCAGTGTGAACATGGCTAATGGGTCAATAATTTAGGTGACTTTCTGTCTGTGGACAAAAGAAAAAAGCAGATGGACTATAATGGGTGGAGTCTAGTTTGCTCTGCTTGATCTGAGTTTGAATGAAAGTGAATACAAGCTTGTATATAATGAACAGTCAAGGGCATTGCGTTGAATGTGCAGATGACCTGCTTGTGCAGTTGTGGTATTTTTCTATGATATCAGTCGTTTGTTCAACACAACCTATGCTTGCTTTTGTGTTGAATTCTGACTGTCAGATGGAAGACCAGGTGGAAGTAGCATTAAGTAGATAAGACTCAAAACTTGACAAGGAGGTGGTGGTGTTTAAACTTAAAACAAACCCCTCTAGACATGTATTAAAATATATATACAAATATTCTGCTTGGAAAGTCTTCAACCTCAGTAAAAATTCCAGAAACCATGAATATGCAAATGTTGTTCAATTTCGACTTGACTTCACACTGTAGAAGTTGCATACTGGACCAGGACTTCCAAACTGTTTGTTTGAAATCATTCTCGTAGGCCCCGCCCCTTTTAGTGTCAAACTCTGCACACACATCCTTCTGCACAGTGAAGCTTTACCATTCAACTCTAGGAACAAGAAGAAAAACAAATTTTTGACTGGAGGGGAATTACATAGGCAACCTTTCAATGGCTATATGGGGAGTCAATCAACTGAAAGAGAATGTACAGCCTGGAAGCTGTTGTGTATAACAGCTGCTGTGGACAATAACACATTTATCTTTACTCTGCCTTTGGTAATTATTGCCACATTTGGAGTAAAGATGTATCCTTGGGGTACATGTAGATGTTTTTAGTGGCTGAAAAGTGTAGAGTGAAAGTGAAACAGACAAGAAAAGCTGACAGAAAAAGGCTTCTATGTGGGTGCAAAGGTGCACTGTGCAGTGAGCTGTTGACCTGCTCTGAGCAGCAGGCAGAAGGGGCAAAATACAGTGAATCGTGACACTAAAATTACAGTGCATTGCTGGATTGCTAGTGACACTCCCCCCACTGCACCTCTCTGGATGGCAAGACATGGAAATACCAGACAGACAGTCGCATTGCATTTTCCTCAATGTAGCGAAAAGGCCAGAGGCAATACACTCATATAAAGATAAAGCCCTCTGTCCTCACTCACTCTCAACTTATTTTAAGCTTTCCTGTCTCTTCTACCATGCTCTCAAATCTTGCCGATTGATTGTACAAATTTGTTGTGTGCTTGCTCAATAGTTCTTATTTGTCATTTGTAAATTCATTGATGGTGTTGTAACATGATTCTGATTTATTGCATAGCAAGTTGGTAATCTAGTCTTTAAATCAGCAAAAAAAAAAAAAATAGAGATCTCACAGAGATACTTTAACCTAACAGTGACAGATGGTTTGTTACACAGAACCATCTGGAAAGTCATGTTGGAAACAGTGGACAGGTGATTGGATGAACTATCTGTCTATCACCATCTATCACAGGCAAACTTTAAAAAGTCAGATCAATGAACCATATACCATAGTCAAACTCTTACTGTCAGTTGGGAGAAGAGAGAAAACATCTTTTCCATCAAGAATAGCCTTCAGTGCTGTTCTTTGCTCTTCTTTCAGTGAAGAAAATCTGTCCAGTTCTAATAAAACTCAGAAATAGCTTGAAACCTTTTAAAATGGATTCTTGCATGATTTTGCAAGTCCAGCTTCCTTTAGGTTAGAGATGTTCAACAGCAGTGATTGAATCTGCATGTACTCCCTGATACTGAGTACTGGCACTTCTCATTTTGCCATCAGTTGCCATACTTTTCAATAGCATACCATCACTTCCTGGTACCGGTGATACGGTATGCACAAGTCTGTGATAGGAAAAAATGAAAACAGTGATAAAAAATGACCTTGTTTAAATGATTCATGGTCACACACTAAATGTAAACATGACATTTCATTTTCCTTCACTGTTGGAAACAAATCATCTACAAATATCACAGTTTTCTCGTCATAATAACTAATAATAATCTTAATTCGCCAAAAAAAAAAAAAAAAGCTTGTATCAATTATCAATATATTGTATATTAAAGTTCCAGCTATGAAGGGCATTTACTGTATTTCATTATTTTTAACCATATATGCTCTTTCCGAATTTGTGTATTTTTGTATAAAAATCAATTTTACATATGATGTACAATAGTCATGTGATATATAGGATAAAGGCCACAGTATTGTGTTGAAAAGTTTCTTCTCTTTTCTACTAAAAACCCTCACACATTTATCTCTTTGGACACAGACAGACCAGTGGAAATGTATAAACTCAAAGTCAATCACAATTGGACATGTTATTTGTCGTAACAAATATGCAGGTGATCCCAAAGATAATGTAGGATTTAAGGAGGATGGAACACTGTCTCAGGAGTGGTAAAAATATGGATTCAAACATATTTTCAGTTTGTCACTGTTTCCAACCCCGTGCAGTAAAATGTGCAGACTAATTTCTGATTCTGCAGATTATGCTTTGTCATCTGTTAGGCTCGTCCGTCTTTGTTCCCCCAGTGATGCTTGTATGACCTCACTGACCATCCTTCTCTTAATGTCCTAGATGGCACCAGCATTGTAAGCATGTCAGTTTTCTTCATTCACTCATTTTAAGCAATCTGTTCTGGAAAAGTAAAACAAAAAAATAAATTAAAATTATTGAAATGTTTTAAATCCTATATTAGCTGCCTTATTTTTCTGCCATATGGTGGCAATTGTTTTTCATTACATCAGCTTTATGACAAAAACAGCTTATGTTCAATTCCTGGAGGGGAAACCATTTTGAAAAGGTTCATGGTATGTTCAATGCCCTATCTTACTAATGAATTGTTGTGTATTGTATTTATGGCAAATTAGTTATTTCACAATACAGTTGTAATGATAGCTGTAAGTATTCACAAATATAATTTGGTCTTTATTATGTCCTAGATCCCTCATAAATGCATGTAGGGACGATAATCCCGGAGACACATTTTAAAAAGAATTTATCAACTCATTAATGAGTCAAGAAATTCTAACTCTGGCAGTCACCTCTGGCCATAAATTCTGTTTCAAGTAAGATGGTGTGATACATAGCACAGAGAGTTCACAGGACAGGAGGCAAGAGGATGCACTGAGCAACGAATTAAGCAGCTTACCAGTGACAGTGATGCACTGACAGACTGACATCTTCAAACTCGCGTCTCTCTCCATGAAACTTAATCTTTTCAATTTCAGTCTTAAAAGGAGAGTGTCCGCATTAAGCTGATTTTTAAGGGTTAGGATGAGGACTGTTCACCTTCAAATCGTATAAATTGTGTCAGCGCACATAATCACACACACACACACACACACACCAAGAAACTGCACCACTGTCATATATAAATATTACCTGATCAGCTAGAGGCTGTTTTTAAAGATAAAGAACTCTCTGCTTATGAGGTTGATACAGCTCATAACACAACAATCAGCTTTAAAACACATCAAGAAAAGAACATGGTTGTGGAACTTGTAAAATACTGATGGTTAAAATGACAAAGAGGATCAATGGAGTCATCATCAAAATGTGACTCCAAATGTTGTTATTTGTTTTTTTATGGACGCAGAATAAAAACTTTGACAAAGATTTGATATGAAAAAACTAAATCCCAGCAAACACATTGTTCTTGTTAAGGAAAGAGAGGTCAGACTACCTCCAAGCCATGGGGCTGGGAATATCATTCATTACACACTCTGAATTTAAAAAAAAAAGGTTGTGGGAATTATTGTCTCTGCTGTGTAAAAATGAAGACAGATTACAGCACTAGAATCAAAATAATGACATTTGCCTCAAAACATTTATGGAAAGGAATTTGTCTGTTTAAGAATCAAATTTCACTGTCAGATTTGATCACTTAGATTGAAGACAATACAATTTTAGTAGCCAGAAGTTTTGTTCTCATCTCTGCACTTCTAAAGCAGATAATTCAGATAGCGTCTGCACCAACATGACACACAATTAACCACAGGGCATCTATCAAGCCATTTAATAGACCTGATGCACCCCTAAAAAGTACCTGGCCACCCCAGTTTGGTGTCAAATGCTGTCAAATTTAATCTATTAATTTAGATTGATTTTAAAAATAACATGCTAAAAACTGACATTAATTAAATGATCTATCTGAAAAAAGACATGTATTTATAAAAATAAAACAATGTATTGATATATAATGCCACCTTTAGATATTTCTATTCAATGCTTTACTAATGTGCCACAATCATTTTTGAGTTCAAATATCTTCATTTGGAGGCTTTTCCAAGCAAATTACTGATATATGTGCAATTAAATCAGCAGATATTTCTGCCACCCCTTAAAGTCTACATGTCGCCCTCTGGACACCACATGAATATTTTTCTAAATCCGCCCCTGCTTCCCTATTATATTATTTTGTAAATAATAAAATAAAAAAAACACGGAACATTCAATTGTGACAGAAAATCCACAGACCAACTCCAATCTTTTTTTGTTTCTTTTTACTTCAGTTAAGAAAGTTACACAAAAGGTGGCAAATTTGTCGACAATAAATAATAAATATTTTTTTGTTGCACGGGAACAAAAGAAACATTTTCTTCCAGAGCTAACGGATTTTTTTTAACTTATTATTAATTATACACATCTTTGGGAAAGAAAAAAAAATCTCGGACGGACACTAACTCACACAAATGTCCCACGAAGCTTGTGGCAAAATAGAGGTATACCTTGTTGCAAATGCTTTAGTACTCGGGTCATGAAGGAAATGGTGTAATTAAATGAAGAAAAGCAGTGCTGTTCCCCTCCAAATGGTCTATTAAATAATGAGGTGCGGTATCGAATTAAAAAATCACCAGTCATTGTTTTCTATTCAAAGAAGGCTAGCGCACAGCATTTCGCAAGTACAGGATTTAGGTTTCTCTCCTATCAGAGGTCCCATGTATCGATGGAGTTCATGTCTTCTCGTTTTGGCAACTGTAACCAGGCGTGTGAGCGTGCAGCACCGGCCATGACTACGCATCCGTCTGTCCCCTTCTGGATGGACATTAGAATGGGTGGCTGTGGTAAAAAAAATCCCATGATTGTCTTCACAGTGTCAAAATACAACCAGGGGGTTGTTTGGTGCAGTCGGGGGGGGTGGGATGAACGGGGGGGCTGTGTGTTCAGTTTAGTCCGTCCATGCGGCGTCCGCTCAGGCCTCGATGGGACTGGATACCATGCTGTTCGGCGTGTCTGGAAGCTGAGACGACATGGACGCTACCTCGCTGCCCGTCGAGTTCGAACCCGGTCCTCCCTCCGAGAAGCTGACCTGCGGGGACACATCAACCAGCGGTCAGAAACATCTGGATACAGAACAAGAGAGAGTTTGTTGTTTTAGAGTCAGACTGGAAAGTAAGTTTCTCACCAGGTAGGATGTGGATATTTTACAAACTGGTATTTTTTTTAAATTATTGTCTAGTGCAGTGGGTTTTTAAAGTGGGGTCAGGCAAAAAGGGGAGCCATTTATATTCACTGTAATTCCATAACCCATAAGTAAAACAATGACAGGATGTATGATTATTTTCATTATATGTATCATTCGCTTTCTGTAATAAAACATCTAAAAGCAAAAGTCCTATCAGATGGGGGACCATCATATACAATCATATAAAATGGTGCTCCGTGGTCTAATATGTGTCAAGGGGTCCTTGAGGTGAAAAAGTTTGAAAGCCCTGGTCCAGTAGGCCCCGGATACTTCCAAAGCAGCAAGTCATTTAACTGAATAGAAACTAGCAATGACTGAATTGTTTGAGTTCGGCGGGCTGATCCATCACATCTTGCGTGTATGTTTGATTGACAGTGATTGTTGTTATTAATTGTAGATGGATTTGTATCTGCTGCACTGAACGGAACAGTAGTCTTATTTACAACACAAAAACGCTCTGATGGATTACCTTTTCTGATTTATTTTATAGAAGAATAAAGTATCTGCGTGATAATAGGACATAAATAAAGATGAAAATAAAGTGGCTGGAAAACACACATTCAAATCTCGAAAGAGCTTGTAGAACCTGTGCTGTAGTGATGGGAATGGAAACAAATATATATATTTGTCCAGACCATGAAGGCAATTATGTTTTAATTATAGACATTTAACATTTAATTATCCATGCTAAGATCTAAATCCTGTATTCAACTAAATGACGTAGTTCCCCAATATTTGTTCAACCATAACACAATTTTATTGTCTAATCGCAGGTCAGCTCTCCTGCAACCAAACAACGGAGGGATTTTGAGTCACATTTGCAGTTATTGTCATAAACGCTTACAATTCACTTATGTGTGTAAGACATGGCGCTGCTTACAGCCGCAGCGGGTCCACGCTTGAGTTCATTTTAGGAGATTTAAGCAGACCGTGTCATGCTGCCTGTGTGCGTCACTCAAAAAAAAAAAAAAACAATCAATAAGAATAAAATTATCTCTAGAAAACAACATTGGTCCTAACCTTCCTGCATCCTCGGGGCAGTTATTATGTTGATTTTATTTCGAGGGAGTCTTGGTCGAATATATGAACAACTTGATCTATGTATGAATGTGAATTTAACAGAAAAATAATGAACCAGTTGAGATACTTGACAGGGTGCTGAATATTGGTAGCACGCAACTCACAACCGTAACCAGCTGTAACGGCTGCATAAAACGAGCAACACATGCCAAGGGGGAAAAACACGTATAATAAAAAAAAATATGTTGGAAGACTAAAAAAATATGTACCAACATGAAACCACCCTGCCATTTAACAGGTGTGATGATGCGCACCTGAGAAAACATGATCAATTTGAATAAATATTCAAAGACGTGGAGGGGCAGTCGAATAAATTATAATAGTGTAAACAATAGAACCCACAGAGCCTATTCGTTAAATTGCTATTTAGAATACCTTTTCCATAATAAAATTTGATTTTTCTGCATGGAGAAACCACAGCGCGTCAAGGGTTGAGATGAGAAACTGAATATCTGACATTCCAACTAAATACATAGATGTAAAGTACGAGTGCCTTAATGACTTTTTGAACAAAAAAACACCAACCAGTTGTTGGAAGGCCGGCTGATCGATGTCGCTCTGCAGGGCGAAGTCGCTTAGGACCTTCCAGGGCGGCTGGTAGCTCTGCACCTCCACTGGATTGGCCTGGATGCCGCCGTCGTGCCGTTCCGGACTGGCCGCAACCATTGGGGTTCCTGTCATTCCCTGGATGTTCTGCAAGAGAACTTATCGTGGTCAGCACCCAGTATACACTTTCATTGTGGGTGATTACACATGATGGGGTGTGGGTGGCTGGGGGTGCGTGTGCGTGTGCGCGCTCGCGTATGTGTGAGTATGTCTGTTTGTGTGTGTGCGAAGGAGGGAAGGGGGGTGGCGTCTGAAATTAATCCACCAGGCAATCAGTAAAACAATCAATAAACAAGTAAACAAATAAGCACGTAAATAAACAGAGAAACAGATTAATATGTGTCCGTCTGTCTGTGTGTGTGTGTGTGTGTGTGTGTGTGTGTGTGTGTTGTGTGCTGTTGCTTTTGCGCAGGTCTGTGCACGGGCTCCAAGACCTTAAAGGCCTTTTTGATCCGTAATTTTACGCACATAAAACATAAACCGGAGCTTCTGTCCCCTTGTGCCCCGACCAAGACCTAATTTGGGGCTGAACTAAACCATTCTGCAATCGTATTGGTCATCGAGGCTGTACCTTAAATCAACTCAGGGGTTAAACATGTCAATAAATAATGAAAGAGCAGACAAGAGTTGCAATATTTAGGGTCAATAATACAGTTTGGTCCTCCCGTAGGCGACGTTTCAGCATAATGTCAGTAGGAGAGACCCGAGGAGGGTTTCCTCAGTCCTCTTACCGTCTTGTCATTGGGCTGCTGCTGCTGCAGCTGTTTCATCAGCAGGCTCCTCTTCTTATCCTTGCACCGCTTGTTCTGGAACCAGACCCGGATGACCCGCGGGCTGAGGCCGGTCATCTCCACCAGCTGCTCCTTCATTAGGGCGTCGGGCCTTGGGTTGGCGTTGTAGCAAGTCCGCAGCGTGTGTAGCTGCTTCTCGTTCAGCACCGTCCGGACCCGGGTGGTCTTCTCTGGCTGTTTGTGGACGTGAGGCCGCAGCGCGGGCTGCCGGGCCGAGATTGGTTCTGCTGTTGAGAAACGGACGGGGGACAGACAAGCCTATTAGTCTGTCTGCTACAAATGATGTGAGGACCAACATGCTATCATGTGATGGTGTGTGGACATAGGCTTGCGGTTTTTATTGGCGTTTAGCTGCAGCCTTATGTGCTCCTGCAGCACAGGATGCACAACTTCACGAGTTTGTTTTAATCTTCCTTATAGACACTCAGTTAACATCATAGCAGAAAAATTCTACATTTGTTTTATAATTCTACTCAATTTAGTCCTGTGATAAACCTCCTTTAAATACACCACATTTCCTGCTTCCATGATTTATAGGCATCACTGCACATTAGCTTTAAATGCAAGAGGACAGCGCAGCCCTGATTGACTCCTCTGATCCAAGGTCAGGTGTATTAAAAACCACCAGGGCGAGCTGGCGATATGGCCAGGCTACTAAAAGAAACCTCCAGCGAAGAGCAGACATGCACAGCACTGCACAGCATTTCCAATTACGCATCCGCACTCCCCCCTTCCAGCAGTGATAACTTGGTGTATTTCTGACAGCAGCGCCCACTGTATCTAATCTACCGAGCCTGGCCTGACTGGACTGTGGTATGCAGAGAGGAGCAGGAGCCGAAACCAGAACCAGAAAACATCCACGAGCCAAATATGGAAAGCAGGAAAGCTCCTCTTGGATGGACTGCATGCCATTTATATTAAAATATAGATGGAATTAACCACACTGACTGTAGAAAGTGTGAAATACAAAAGATGTACTTCATTTGAACAACAAACAAATGCTGTCTCATGGAGTTTTTTCTGAAGGCTCAAAATAAAATTACGGGAAAAGGCATCGGAATTTCGTGGAGAAAAAAAAGTCACCGAGCAAGTGAAAACACACGCGTCCCAGCAGTAACAGTCCCCTAGCAGCTCTCCCGCTCCCCGGGACTTTTACCTGCCATCTGCAGCGGTCTGGCGGGGTGCAGCGGGCTGAGTGGGTCTCCGGGGCCCAGGCTGGCCCGTTCAACGACGTCGTGGTCGGCCCGACAAAAGAGCCCGTCCTCCCGTAGAGCGAACTCGTCCCCCGGGATGAGCTGCCGGCTGCAGGCCACGCAGCGGAAACACTCGATGTGGTAGACCTTGGAGCGGGCCCTCATCACGAAGTCGTTCTTGCTGAAGCCGATGTTGCATTTGGCGCATTTAATCCCGTATAACCTGCACACACACACACACACACACACACACACACACACACACACACACACACAGGTCCCATCAGTTTCAATGCAGCTATAGTATGACAGAAAAAACACCATCGATATTTAAAAATAATAATAATAAATAATATAATATAAAAACATTTATACGTTATTTATAATAATTGTAAAACAATATTTCCATGCATTATTATTATTATTATTATTATTATTATTATTATTATTATTACTAATTGACGATGTTTTTATCAATGTTGTACTAAAAAGTACAACTTTAATATCCATTTTCTCATCAGACAATAACTGAAGGCCTGCTAATCGAATAATAGTTCACGTGGTGTAATAACACCAAATGACTGAGTCATTTACAGGCATAAAAATAGTCGGGATGTTTTTTTTTTTTTTATGATTTTCTCCAGGTCCACCTGTCACAGAGCAAAGGATGCTGCAGTTGGATCATTGATTAATAAAGTAATTTTGTAGGCCTGATGCACATTGTTTTTTAAAACATATTAATGAAATACTAGCATTTCTTAGAAGGACGCACGGTCTACAACAAGTTGCAGTGGCAGTGGAGATAATATTGAAATGCATTAAATCTGATGAACTGAAAACAGGGCTCCATGCGATTTAAATCAGTCCGAATATTCTCAATCTCATATCGCAAAATAAAAGATTATTCCCAATCGCCGCGCAACTCCAGCTCCTGCAGTGTATCTTTAAAAGAGAGTCGTCTGTCCCGTCCCGTCCGTCCTACCTGATGTAGTCCCGTTTACAGTAAGTCTTTCCGTCCCTGACGAAGCACGTGCACGACTCGTCCAGGTACTGGCTGCACTCGGCACATTTGAGACAGGCTGCGTGCCACTCCAGGTCCGGGGAGACCCGCAGGATGTACTGGTCGTGGATCTGGTTCCCGCAGCCCACGCATAGAGACACCAGCCGCTTCTCTGGAAGACCAGGACACATCACACACACTGTTCACAAGTGTCATCTTACTGAAGACTCATCTAATAACACACCAAAACGGCCTTAACGGCCTAATAATAATAATAATAATAATAATAATAATAATAATAGTTTATATTTAATAGCCTGGATAAAAAAAAAATCTAGGAAACAGTCGATGATTTAAACCTTTACTGACACTTTTCGATCAAATGCAAGAGGCCCAGAGACTGAGTGTGTCTGCAGTCATCACAACACAACTAATTCAACTCTAAACTTGTGTGATGAATTCATTTCCAGAAACGCATCCCGACAGAGTGTCTTACTTTTCGGCGGATCCCCCATGTCTCCCATGTCCACAAAGTAAGGCGACGTAAGGTCCACTGTCACAGCGGGCTGCGGCGCCTGGAAGCCTGGATGTGTCCTCCGCTGCCGGGCTGCCGGGCCAGGGGCTGTGCTGTCCGGCTCGGAGAGGGAGTGTGTGTGTGTATGTGTTTGTTGCCGGTGTGTGTGGAGCTCTGATCCTGACAAGCGGCGGGGCTGACGTAGGACAGCAACACGTCATCTGCATGAGCAGCTGATTGGCTCTGCAGACCCTGACCAACACACACACACACACACACACACACACACACACACACACACACACACACCACGCACTGGCACACTTATTGCTGCATATCATTTGTTTTCCAGCTTTGCTTTGCTCTTTTCTGTTCTGTTAATTTAGTCTCTTATTTATTAGTCTGCTGTTGCTGAGTGGGTTGTTGTTTACATGATTAACTGTTTCCTATGAAGGAAAACACACACTCCATCGCTTTTTTAATTTTTAATTTTAACTACACATAGTCTACAGTGCCGTAGAGGAAGCATTCCTGGACGGATTTATATTAACAGTCCTTAGAGACTGGACTGATATAGTGATGCCTGTGAGCTGAACATCTTGCATCCCGACAATATTAACTTACAACTAACTCAGAAAACAGCCCTGTGAGAGATTACTTTGAAATACAAAGCTGAATCATAGACGGAATGAGTGTCCAGAAGCCAAAGCAACGTTGCTAATCCTTAAACCTTACGAAAAATAGGACCAAAATGCATGGTTCCCAGCAGAGAGCAGATGATGGTGTGAGCCCTAAAATCTGAGCGGTGACAGGCCAGGACCCGCAGGAGCCGCTCGGACACACACACCAACACGCCCTCTTGTGTTTGTAATCCACTCACGCCGTAACACAACAGCAGCAGACAGAGGACACCCCAAACTGTCTCATCTGTCTCTACCAACACACCATTTTTAAAAACAGAGCCGCGTAGATAGATAGATAGATAGATAGATAGATAGATAGATAGATAGATAGATAGATAGATAGATAGATAGATAGATAGATAGATAGATAATCATGAGAAAACTGATAAATATGTAGGCCTATCTGGTTGTCGCAAAAAATACCCAGAAGTCCACTGTTAGTAGTCCAGACATAAGTTCATGTTTGTATTTTAAATTGGGAATCAAGAATAAAGGAAATTCAAGCACCAGAATTCACATGACTTTCATCCTTTTTTAATTTGTAAACTGTTTTTCTTTGCAGTGACACAAAAAGCGGAATAAACCTGTAAAAACTAAATTTTCTGTTGTATGTTTCACTTCAAACCATTAAGATGTAACAAATGTATTAATAACTTTAACTTTAATTAATAAAGTTTAATTCTTGTGTAGTTCTGTGACCAAATGTGATGTAGCAACCGTAGTGGCGGCTGAGGCTCAGAGCAGGTCGTACACTAAGCGGAAGGTTGGCGGTTCGATTCCCGGCTCTCTCGCTGCATGTCAGGTGTCTTTGAGTAAGATACTAAATCATAAATTGTTCCCGATGTATGATTGTGTGTAGTTTCCCTTCTGGTAACGGTTGGCCAGTCACTGCCACTGTATGAATGTGGGTAAATGAGGTGCAGGTGGTGTAGTTACAGCACATTGAGTCAAAAGGCTATAAAAAGTTGCTATAAAAGTAGCTACATACCATTCAGTCATAATCATAACCAAACTTAACAAATTGTAAATATTATTGCTACTGGTCCTAGTATTACAGTACACTTCTGTATTGTGTCCAATGGTGTTGCCATACCCCAGCAGAAGCTGTAGCTCGACTGATGTGGGTATAATCACTCTATCGCATTAATCTAAAATGTATTTGAACTTGTACTCCTAGTGTTTCTAATGGCATTTGCAAGAATCCAGCGGACCAAATGAAAACAACCAATCAGTTGATTGTTGAATCTCATTCCTAGGAATTGAATACCAACATTTTGGAACCCTGGGATGGAAACTCAACAATCAGCATTTTCAAGCCTCCAACCCAAACCGCTTTATATCTTTCTATGCTCTGATTGGTTGTTTTCATCAAGGTCCGGTTGATTTTTGGAAATTATCTGTCTCATGTAGATTAGGATACGGTGAAAATTTCAGCAAAAATTAGATTTTTAAAAAAAATAGAAGTTATCTAATGCAGCCTTATTACAAAATACAATAAAAGATAATAGCTAGCTTTACAAAGCAAAGATGCATGTCATCATCATTTTGAGATTTGTCTTAATTTTTGTGCAAATATGACAAGAAGTTATTTTTATAAAGATTTCTGACAGCAGCTTTAAACCAGACCTAAAGGATGATCCACACAACAGCCCTAAGGTGTCTTTTGATAGCTCGATAGTTGCTAATTGAGGCAGCACATTTAATTTCACTTTAATGCTAAAGCAAGATTAGTGGTTCCCAACCTGAGGTTCAGGACCACCACTGGGGGTCACCAGAGCTTCATGGGGGTTGTAAGGCCTACTTGATTTTAATGGGTGAAAAAACGTAAAAATATATACACAGTAGGTTTGTATCTCAGGATTTTCTTCATTACTGTCAAGATAACTAAACAGAATTTTTATTTATTTATTTATTTATAATAGTTTACAAGCTATATACACGACCTTCACTGTCTCTAAACAGCTTTGTCCTGCATTAGAAAAGTACACAGTTGAAAATAACCAAAAAGCTAATAGAGCAATGAAAAAGAAAACACTGAATTTGTCAGCCTATATTTATATAGGCTGTTTATATATATATATATAGTAGATTGTTTGTTTTAATACATAATACACACAGAGAATTGTACACAAAGTTCCTAAAAATATCAGGAAAACTAATCTCTGATACAATATTCACAGGAAATAATCTGCTCAAAATTCATCCAAATCAATCATTTTACACAAACTTTCTGCAGTTACTGTGTGTACTTTTTGGGTTCATTTTACATCTTAACAGTTGTTCTGTACTGTTACTGTTATGCATTGAATATAATATGAAATAGCCATAAAATATGTCACTCAGTCAGTCAAAAATTGCTTAATGTTCATATCGGACGATTTACAAAATATATAATAAAGTTCTGCACCCTTAAAAGAGGTAAACCAAACAGACCTTAATCAATGCTGCATTAACTTAACAGACTAAACCAACTGAGAGTTGGGGATATCTAAATAGTGGCTGATCAAGTCACTCTGACACACAGGGAGGATAGACTAAAGCATAACATTTAAACAAACTACAATGACCACAAATAATGTTAAGATAACACAGCCTAATATTAACTGAGGAAAATACTGAAACACTAATATCAAAAAGCATAATTGTCAAAGAAATAACAAAACTCAAACTAGGAAAAACACTGCCTCTCCCCATGATGCAGGTTAAAATGGTGCAGTCTAATCATCAACCCAACCCCTTTTAACCAGGTCTGATTCAAAGTCAGGGTCATTTAGACATAGGAGACCACAGCTTCTCCCATGTGATACCAGCAGTTAATGTTGGATTCTTCTAACAGCATTTTCCAAAATAGCAGTAGCTAGGCTGCCTAAAACTTAAAGGTCCAGTGTGTAACATTTAGGAGGATATATTGGAAGAAATGGAATATAATATTCATAGGTATATTTTTTATTGGTGTATAATCACCTGAATATGAGAGTCATTGTGTTTTCATAACCTCATAACCATTTTTACTACATACGTCTCCTTCCTTGGAGTCCACAATGTTGAACTGCCATGTTTCTACAGTGAGCAAGTTTTAATCTGTAACTACACTGCTAGATGCCACTAAATACACACTTGTCCTTTAACTACAGTTAAGAGTTTTGTGTATGAGTGTGTATTTTTGCAGCATCACTATCAGAAGGGACTGATAAAACACTTATTTATTCAACAGCACTGGTTGGTACAGTGACATGACACGTGAGATTTTGATTATCACAATTTCCAGATACAGTCTTCTCTCCTCGTCTTAAAGGCTGCATCACAGTTACCTGATATAAATCTCTGCTGAGTGAGATGAACAGTGAATGCACACTTATAATAATATCCACAATTGCAATTACTTTTTTAGCATTGTTCAACCTATCCAATGCCAGAATGTAATTTAGGTAATGATCTATGGAATCTATATCATTATTTTCTGTAATTGTAGAGTAGAATAGACCAGGATAGAATACAAAAGAATTCAGCTGTCACAGTTGAAATGTAAGACACCTGTGATATTTTATGTGAAACTGCATTTGGCGTGATTAATTCATAAACAGGCATATCCCTTACAAAATGTGAATTTATGAACATTTCACAAAGGCATTGATTTATCATTTTCACTTGTGCTTTTTTGTAAAGGATTGTTTTTGAACATATCACACATGAAATACACATCGTTTTCACATTATTTTTTCAAGCAATGAAATAGAATAATTTCATTAAATAAGAGTAATTTAAACAATGGAATACAATCAGGGCGGATCTAGAGAATTATTCATGGGGTAGCAGAAATATACGCTGATCTAATCACAATCAATATTTGCTTGGAAAATCCCCCAAATTAAAATATTTGAACTCAAAAACATGCCATTATCGTTGCATTTTAGTAAAGCACTTAATTGAAATATCTAAAGGTGGTATTAGAAATTAATTGTTGTAATTGTTTTATTTCCGATTCATTGAACTTAAGCCTATCATAGTTTATACATGTGTTAATTTCTTTCATTTTAACATTTTTACATTCATCTAAATGAATGTGTTAAATTTGACAACATTCTACAGGCAAATGCCATCCCATGCCACTCTTCTAGATCTGCCCCTGAATACAGTAGGAAATAGCAGATAGGAACAAAGTAGGACTTAACATAAAACAGTGTCCAATGTAGAAAAGTAGTGTAGAGCTTAAAGATGAATGCAATGAACACAATAGAGTGCAGCAGAATAGAGAATTGAGCAACTTGAACATAATAGAATACAGCAGAGTGGGCAGGTAGAGAAGAAAATAGGGGAAATAAGTGTATGCATTATGTGTATGTGTTGCTTTTTGAACGCAAACCATGACCATTTCCTTAACCTAACCAAACTACGACTGAAAACTGAAGTTGAAGTCAAATTGACTTTTGGGAAAAAGACCCCAGTTTCCTGGGTGAAAGTCCTGTGTTTGACCTATTGATCCACTAC